ATCAGATAAGTAAACTGAAAATTTACAGCTTCAAGGCTAAATGAGAATCCATGAACCTTATATTTATTGTTCTATAAACATAATAATGTGTCACATATGCAAAACGTGCATATAAACTGGTTAAATAGAACCCACCAGTCTTTTTTTTAATCTCGGTTTAATATGCATCTCAAGATTAATTCCAATGTTATTGCACAAGTTTGACATCAAAATATCATTTTTAAAAACATGAAAACGTGGTAATACTGACATGTAAAGAAAGAAAACATTAAGTAAGAAAATCCCTTCACCTTGAGAAAATTTAATAGCATAACACATTCACAAACAACATGACAAAATCAATAAAAGTATAAATTCTATTATAGATACAACTCACTGGGGAATTCTGTCACACGTTCACTCCCATCAAAATCAGACCATTCATTTCTAAAACTTTCTACTGGATTTTCTTTATGCCCATCCCCTCAAGTTGTAATCTCGTATCTAAAAGAGTTGAACTTCAACTAAAAATTCCAGTATTGAGAAATAAGATCGAACATTATAAAGTTCTTGTGTTAAAGATCGAACATTATAGGTAGGAATATTAGCATTAATCTGAACATATGGATCACTTACAGGGACGCCGACGACCGACGACCTTCGCCTCCCAGTGACGCCGAACACTTTTCGCAGCGTAGGGATCAGTCGTCGCCGGGGGATCAGACGATGGGTTGATTTGGAAATTAGGGATATGGGAATGAGGATCTGAGTAATGATATATAGTCGTAACGAAGCGGAAGACATGTTTGCAGAATATACTTGGGTTCTCAAGGCAGCTCGTCGTTGGAAATTTGGGTTCTCGAGGCGTCGATCAAGGGTAACGAAGCGTCGATCGCGGGTAACGAAGAACGGAAGAATTGGGGGAATTGGGGGAACGGTGAAATTTGGGTTCTCGAGACAGAACACTTTTCTTCTGTATAAGGGGCTGTTTGTTTGCAAAAATGAGAAGGGGAAAGCCTGTCAAATCTGACAAAAACTGTCAATTTTGACAGGCTTTCTTGCAAAAACGCCTCTAAAAGAGACGTTTTTGCAAGAAAGCCTGCCAAAACTGACAGTTTTTGTCAGATTTGGCAGCTTTCCTCTAACTTTCTCCTTCAAAAAAAATGAAACAAACGGGCCCTAAGGAGGTAGAAGAGAGGAACGGTGAAATGGAAGAATTGGGGGAAGACGAAGCAGCTCGTCGTTGGAAATGTAAGTGGTGGAGAGAAGTTCGAAGCAGAGATTTAATGTGTTAAGGCCAGGTGGCGTTTATAATTGTATATATGGGTTAATTTTGCCAAGTGGCATTTTTGACAGGTGGCATAACCAATAGTAACACTTATTAGTAATAGTATATAGATGATGGAAATTAATTTAAGGACCCAAAATATGGGACCAAGGGAGGGGACAGGTGATGTGTCCCCTCCCTATAGCATAATGAGTTGGCATGACCAACTCATTATGCAATAGGGAGGGGACACCTCACCTGTCCCCTCCATTGGTCCCATATTTTGGGTCCACGTAGCAGCCCTCATAGATGATGCAATATGTTTCCAGTTTAAAGCAATGCAAGCTGACATGTCCAGTATCAAATGCAATTAAAGTGATTAATAACCATTTTTACTCATCATAATTATGACACTAATATTATATCAAGGTACAGTATTAATTAATAAAAATCAGATCACAAACCAAACCTGCATAAAAAATCAGATTACTACCCAAAATGTAGCAACTTGTAATATTTGAAAATTGAAAGATACTATGGAATGTTAACCAAAATTACATTACTGCACAAACCTGCATATAGATTAATACCCAAAATGTAGCAACTTGTAATATTTGAAAATTGAAAGATACTATGGAAAGTTAACCAAAATTACATTACTACACAAACCTGCATAAAGCCCAACATCTATGAGTCGTGTTTGACAATTAAAGGAAAGTTTGTTTAGCATAGTGAAATCTATGAGGATTTCAGAAGGACAAGTCCAAACACTATTAGTTCCATTGCACACCCTATTCTCTATGCAAACTACGTAATATCAGATTTATTTTTTTAACATAGGAGATGTGCCCGTATGGCAAACCTGTCAAGTAAACATAAATCATTATGAATAACACCAGAAAACCCAATTTATAGTATGTATTATTTAGTCAACAACAAAATCCATGTTTGTCAACTACATTTCTTTGAGCTGAATGTATTTATGCATTGAGGTAAACTCTCTCCAACATATAATTTAAGCACATGAAACATGTAGTAATAAACCAAAGAGTTTCTTTGAGAGACACTCAGAAAATGTATCATGTGTACAGCCGAATATAACGCCGCCAATCTCTTTCACGGGCAGACATGCTTATTTTTTTAACATAGGCGATGTTAAAAAATATTTATTTAGTTTTCCATTGCACAATTATTTCCATTGCACACCATGTTCTCTATGTAAAACCTACATTAAAGTTGTAGTTGACTGTATGCAATTGCACATAGATATGTATTCATAACACACACTGGGATTATGATTTATGTTTTTTCATTCTCTATATATGTAATGCCTTTCTTTTTGTTATTGAAATCTTAGTCATGCAAGTTACCTAAAGAAAGTCCTTTCTGTATAAGCGTTAAATTTTTATTTTGAAAAATGCTAATGCAATTTTTTTATTTTTCATGCTTGAATTTGTAGAAGACCAAACTGCTATGAAGATATTATTCTGTCTTGGTTTTGAGCATTATCTATTTGTTTCTGATGATCTACATGCCTTGCTGCAAATATGACTGACATATTTATCACTGTTTATAAGCTCAAATTGATAGTCTTGGTTTAGCTAAACATGAGATATTTGCATAAACATCTCTCAGAAATATAGGAGTTAGCATCCATGTGAAAACAGAATCACAGACATGAGTACATGAAAACTTTAGAACATTAGAAATCTTCAAAATCCAATGTCTCATGCTTTATATGTTTATACTTATAATGTTGGTAGCTTAGTTCTGATTAACCATGTAGGGACTGCTTGATTTAATGTAAGTTGGTTTAGTGGTCTTGGTTTAGCTAAACATGAGATATTTGCATAAACATCTCTCAGAAATATAGGAGTTAGCATCCATGTGAAAACAGAATCACAGACATGAGTACATGAAAACTTTAGAAAATTAGAAATCCTCAAAATCCAATGTCTCATGCTTTATATGTTTATACTTATAATGTTGGTAGCTTAGTTCTGATTAACCATGTAGGGACTGCTTGATTTAATGTAAGTTGGTTTAGTGGTCTTGGTTTAGCTAAACATGAGATATTTGCATAAACATCTCTCAGAAATATAGGAGTTAGCATCCATGTGAAAACAGAATCACAGACATGAGTACATGAAAACTTTAGAAAATTAGAAATCCTCAAAATCCAATGTCTCATGCTTTATATGTTTATACTTATAATGTTGGTAGCTTAGTTCTGATTAACCATGTAGGGACTGCTTGATTTAATGTAAGTTGGTTTAGTGGTCTTGGTTTAGCTAAACATGAGATATTTGCATAAACATCTCTCAGAAATATAGGAGTTAGCATCCATGTGAAAACAGAATCACAGACATGAGTACATGAAAACTTTAGAAAATTAGAAATCCTCAAAATCCAATGTCTCATGCTTTATATGTTTATACTTATAATGTTGGTAGCTTAGTTCTGATTAACCATGTAGGGACTGCTTGATTTAATGTAAGTTGGTTTAGTGGTCTTGGTTTAGCTAAACATGAGATATTTGCATAAACATCTCTCAGAAATATAGGAGTTAGCATCCATGTGAAAACAGAATCACAGACATGAGTACATGAAAACTTTAGAAAATTAGAAATCCTCAAAATCCAATGTCTCATGCTTTATATGTTTATACTTATAATGTTGGTAGCTTAGTTCTGATTAACCATGTAGGGACTGCTTGATTTAATGTAAGTTGGTTTAGTGGTCTTGGTTTAGCTAAACATGAGATAATGCATAGGATCTACTCATAGTATACATCTAGACAGCATGCTTGAAAACACAATGAGTACTGAAAAGTGAATAACAGGAACAAAGTGAACCAGCCAATAGGACATTTAATCTTCTTTTAAGTATTCAAGATAAGTAAATCCTAGCATGTAGTCATAGAAGAAATTCCAATTTTAACATCACCCTGCAATCTTGAATACTTAAAAAATATTTGATTAGCAGAGCATTGACAGGGACTGATAAAAAAGATTTGATGAGGAAGCTGCCAAAATTTTTATATGATGAGCAAAAGGCTTTGGAGGTAAGCTCTTCACAATGGCAGGGATTATATTTATGTTTGATACTACTGGTGCACAGTCAAATTGATCAGCTAGGAGCAACATAACAAATAAAAAAATTGTAAATACATCACCCAATTAACGATAATAATGACCATAAGGCAATTCTTGTTTACTTATTCTCTAATAATTGCATTTTAAAAAAGAATTGCATTGCATTTTAAAAAAGAAGTGAAAATACATCACCCAATTAACAATAATAATGACCATAAGGCAATTCTATGTATTATGCACTATAGTGAATGGGTTAATTACGAAGTCATAGATTAACAGAGACTCATCAATTATAATATTTTAAGAATGATCACCGTCAAAGAGCACATTTCCAAACAATTTAAAAAACTTTAAAATATAGGATGACGATATCATATAATTAGCATATGTAGAGCAAGAAAGCTCTTGTAAAATCAACCCATCACGCAAAAGCAGATTGATGTAGATTCATACAAACATTGTCGGTAATTGCTCACGCTTACTATAACCAAATTGTCACAATCAAATTTTCATCCTTAATACATGATTGCCACAACCAAATTGTCACAACCAAAGTGTCAAACATTGAGTACCAAAAGGCTCAGCTTTATCAAATTTCACAATATATGATTAAAATTTCGATGAAAGTAAATTTAACAAAATCGGTAACAATTTTTTAGGGGTTCAGTAAACTGACCTGTCGACCGCCAGTGACGTTGACGACCTTCTCCTCCAGTGACGCCGTCGACCAATTTCAGTCTTCGCCAAGGGTTTTGTCGATAGTCTCCTGTGAGAATAAGGGAGGAGGGGATGAGAATCTGAGGCTTTCTATATATGCGTAGCATCCTTCGGAGACGCTTGGGTGATCGAGGAAGATCACGATTTCTCTAGGCGACGAAGTCGAACAGACGACTTGGGGAGTCGAACAGACGAAGCCGATCTTGGGAGATGAAGAACGGGGGAAAGAACGACAGCTAAGAATGAAGCGGCGGAGCTAAGAATGAAGCGGCGGAGCTAAGAATGCAGCGACGGAGCTTTGGGAACTGAGGGGGCGGAGCTAAGAACGAAGCGACAGATTATTTTGGAAATTGAAATGGCGGAGAGAAGAACGATGCTTTTATTGGAGCAAACACGACGCCAGGTGGCAGCTGCAATGGGATGGGTATTCTTTGCCAAGTGTTCTTTGCCAAGTGGCGTTTTCAGAGGTAACTGTTTTTAGATATAGTATATAGATTATACGTGTTTGATTATTACCCTCTCAACTCATATCTTCACTTTGTTTTCCATCTTTTTCTGAAAATATTTTCGCTTATTAGGTGTTCACTGATGCGACACTAGATTTAAGCTCTTTTGTGAAAAAGACTTTGGTGGCAGAAAGATGTCCTGGAGTCTGCGTCATTGTCAACAATGGTAATGAAGCTGGAAAAAAAAAAAAAAACAGCTCACAA